TATTTATTTGTAAATTATTTTTTATGTTTTATTATTGGCTAATGTCTCAAGGCATAATTGCACTTAGGGCACTGTTTATTAATAAAGATAGTGAATATAAATTCATTTTCAGATCATATTCTTGGTCATTCCAAACTTCCTGGCTGACTTCATGTCAGACCTGATTTCATGGAAATAAACTGTGACTTAGAATAGATGAAACATAATTAGTAGACATTTTAATATTTAATAGTTTGTTCCTCACCCCCGAGGATTTAGTTGGGTGCCCATTTTGGAGACCTTGGGCTTAGGGAGAAGGCCATAGGGAGGTTGGTGGCCTGGCTGAGGGTAGGCACCTGGCTTCCTTTGCAAAGCCTCCAGCTTTCACAGCAGAAAGCCTGCTCCTGTCTCTAACTCCTGCACTGCTCTTCCTAATCCCCAGATGTGTTTAGTGACAAGGCAGCTGAGACAGAGAGGCCTGGCAGTCCTGAGATCTGGGGCCTTATTACAGCTTTGTCAATAGCTTGCTCTGGGTCCTTGAACAAGTTTGTTTCTGTGGATCTCAGCTTTCTCAGCTGCAAAGAACAGGCCCAACTAAATTCCCGATCCTATCATTCTGTAAGAAGTATCTCACTATAGCTGGCTTCCGTAAATGCTGGGTTCAAAGCCACATAACGTCTACATGCCTAAAGTGAATTATTTGACTTTTCTGTGCCTTGTTTTCTGATGTATAAAATCAAATACTTCTAGTTTGTGAGACTTGGATGAGATGTTATACATAAATTAAAAAAAAAAACATAGTTCACTTTCTATATCTCTTACACATGTGGTTCTCAAATTTTATTTGGGGCATCAGAATTCCCTGGGGATTGCTCCCCAACGCTCCTCCTTTGATGCCACCCCATCTGTGCTTCTGGAGCAGTGGTGGAGGCTGGCAGTCTGCATTTCGATGGCCTCCTGGGTAATTGTCCCTGCTAAGAACACTGCCCTAATCTTTGTGCATCTCCTACCACATCAAACACAGAGCCTTGCACTTTGGAAGTGTTCAAAGGAAAACAGAGGGACTGGACAGGTGATGGCAAGGAAAACAAACAACCTGTGCTTCTGCAGGTCAAGCCATCCCCTGGGAGGCTGCACGCTGCGCAGCCTGCCTGTGTGTCCCTCTAGTCCCTCCCCAGCCCAGCCCAGCCCAGCCCAGCCCTGCTGGAAAGCACAGCATGGTCAAACCATGTTTGTCAGTTCCCTGCTCGCCTCTCCTGTAGCTCTGTTTTGACAGGTGTGTCCAAGGCTGGCAAGCACACATAGCCAGCTCAGCCCTGGCCAGGGAAGAGGAGCCAGGGGAAGTTCTGGAGGCTCTGCTTAGGCCATGTCCTACCCCAGCTGGAGGGGCCGTGAGGCGGCGGCCCTCGCTGAGGAATGGTGGGCAGGCCTGGGGGGTTTTAGACATATCCCAGTCCTGTGGCTTCCAGGAAGCCCCTTTGCTCTCCTTAGAAGGAAGCCCAGAAGTTCCTTCAAGGCTTTGCAAATCTGGTGGGGATTAAAACAACCTGATGGCAAAGGCCATGCTTCTAATCCGGTGACTGAGATCTCACAGGCTGTCACCTCTCCGTCTGGGTTCAGACTTTAATGCCTTAGCCCTGGCAAGTTCCAGGAAGGCAACTAAGCAGGGCAGGAGGAGGAACACTTGGTTAGAATTGCAAGATAGAGGAATCCAGGATATACCAGGTGACTCCCTGATGAAATGTCAAGACTGGACCACTCTCTTTGTTTCCTAGCAGAGAAACCAAAAGTCAGAGAGGGGCTTTGTCAGTCTGCAGTCTCACCATGAATGGAGAGCCCAGGGGGGCAGAAGTATGACCTGCTCCAGTTCCATGTCCGTGAAGGAACTCCATCATGGAGTCCACCCAATCATCCCACTATGAAGTGGGTGGATCCATCTCACACAGTGTGCACAGAACAGTGTACTGATTCAGAGTGTTTGCTACACGCTTGATGGTTCCAGCCCCCCCACTGCCCCCCCCCCCCCTTAACTGCGGCCAGCTCTTGGGCTTCCCAGCAGCACCTAAAATGGTCTGGATACTATGAAGGGTCACATTAGTAGTAGGGGCCATTTGATGAGAGAAAGGGACTAGGGGGTACTTTCTGGGGAATGTGCATCAGAAGGTGCTCAATGGTTGTGACCAACAGCAAAAGGGCCCAAGAAGTAGAGTTGCAGCACAACCAGAGATGTGAGAAGTTGCAGGGACCAAGACCCGAGAGGCCTGAGTTCTAGTCCCAGATGGTGACAAACTCCTCACCTCTAGCAGTCTTTGCTTTCTGTCTTGGAAAGTAGAGAGGCTGAGCCTGGTGATGCACCAGATCACTCTTGGATCTAACAATGCGGAGAATGTGGGAGTGGGAGTTGCAGGGGCTGGAGTTCTGGCTGGTCATCTGCAGAGGACAGTGGTGAGTGCCACTGCTATTCAGGAAGCTCTGGATCTGTATAATGACCCTCGTGACAATGGCTAGTAGCATAATCACCACCGCCATGTATTCTACGGACTGGATTGTGTCTACACAAAATCCACATGCTGAAGCCCTAACCCCCAATGCAACTGTATCTGGAGATAGGATACTAGGAGGTAACTGGGGTTAAATGAGATCATAAGGTGGGGCCCTAATCTGTCAGGACCGTGGCCTTATAAGAAAAGGAAAAGTGTCTCTCTCTCACTCCTTTTCTCTCCTCTCAGACACTTCTCTCCCCACCCCCGACCCTGGAACCAGATGACACAAGTCAGGAAGATCTGGCATCTTGCCCTTGGACTTCCTAGCCTCCAGAACCCTGAGAAAATTCATTTGTATTGGTTGAGCCACCCAGCCTGTGGTACTTTGTTATGGCAGCCCGAGCTGATTAATGTACCAGGCAACTGGCCAAGTGCATTGTTAAAAAGAAAACCATGGGCCCCAAATGGAGGTTCTTGGGCCAGGCCAGGTCATCAAACCTGGGCTTCATACCTAACCTAACTGCAGTTTCAATCTCCCCCAGAAATGTAGGTCTCAAACCTGTCAGTCAGGAATTTTCTGATAAGCGCCAATGAGATTATCTGTGGACATGGGTCTTCTCCCTTCCCCAAAGGAAGATGAGGTAATCTGCATCATAAAACCCCCTGCTCTTCCCACCATGGGAAGGTGATTTTGCCAGCAATAATCCTTTCTTTCCTTTTGCTTATAATTTTTTGCCCCCCCATAAAAACTCTCCATTTTGTACAATTCCTCCGAGTGCCCCTCTATTTGCCAGATGGGGTGCTGCCTGATTCATGAATCATTTAATGAATCCAATTAGATTTTCCAAATTTTTTTTTTTTTACAGTATCCTCTTACTTAATCCCCTCAATGACCTCAGGAGGTAGGTACAATTATAACCCCCATTTTACAGGAAGGGAACAGAAGCTCAGAGAGGGTAACTCGCCCAAGGCTGAGTTTCAATAGAGGTACATCTAAAAACTCATTATCTGTGTGACTTTGGGAAGTTAATCTCTCCAAACCTCAGTTTTCCCATGTGTAAAGTGGGAATAATAATAGTACATGTGGACATAATAGCTACATTCTAAATTGTAGTGAGGATTAGATGTGTTATATGTAAGGTCTTTAGAATGGTCTTCTGTTGCATAGTAAATCCTCCCCTGGGGTCTGTTACTATTAATGTCATTATGATTCTCTTATTCCTTTATTGCCAACCACAGACTTAATGGCCAGCTTTGCTCAGAGTCAATCTTGCTCTCGTGTCTCTAATTTTACCACATGACCCCTTCCCTGTGTAGCCCCCTCCAAACCACACGGCCAGAGAGGCTGGTGACAGTTGTCCAGGACACATGAGTTTTTCTTATGTGTTTACTTCTATGCTCTCGAATCGCTCGGTTTTTGATCCTTGGAGCCTTGTCTCTCATTCTGGATCCCAACTCATCCCTTGGAATGGATCGCAGATCTAACTTTTCCAGACTTTGACTCCAGGACATTAGCTTGCCCTTGGGCTTGGGCTCCCCCAGCTCCCAGGACCCCTGGCTCATGCTGGGGAGCATGACCCCTGCCAGACATGCCATCAACCCCACTCTGGACGGTGATTGTCTGGAATTTCCTGGAGGTGTTCTTGGGGACCCAGGCTGTAAAATGACACCACTGGATGGTCCCCACTGCCTCCTTCAAGGCCCACCAACTCTGCCACGGCCTGGGTGATGCCTTCCCTGGCCTACTCAGCCTCACCTGTCACTCTTGTCCCCAGGGCCCCCTTCTTCTCAGAACCCTTGGCCTGCTTCATGTGCGGCTTGAGGTGGAGACCTATCGTTCACTCTGTTCCACCTTCCCCTCCTAGAGGTGACCCCCACAGCACAAAGCCTCTGTGCTAAACATTATTTTTAGATGTGTCTGTGAGGATGTTTCCAGAAGAGATTCGCAATTGAATGGGTAGATTGAGTAAAGATCAGCTTCGATAAAGTGGGTAGGTATCAATCATCCCATCTGCAGAGGGTGAGAGAGTAGAACAAAAAGGTGAAGAAAGGGAGAATTCTATCTCTGCCTGGCTGTGTGAGCTAGGACATGGGTCTTCTCCTGCCTTGGGCTGGAATTTACACTGCGGACTCTCCTGGTTCCCTGGTCTTTGGACTCAGACTAGAACTACACCATTGATGCTCCTGGATCTTCAGCCTGCAGACAGAAGATCATGGGACTTCTCAGTCTCTGTATCTCCCTCTGCCCCCCCCACCCCAATATATACACACACACACACATATGTATACAGTAGTCTGCCCTTATCTGGAATTTTGCTTTCCAAGTTTATAGTTACCACTGTCAACCACAGTCCGGAAGCTGATGATCCTCCTTCTGACCCACAGGCAGAAGGTCAATAGTAGCCCAACACGTAGGTCCTAACGCCTACGTCCGTCACCTCACTTCATCCTATCACATGGGCATTTTATCATCTCACATCCCTACAAGAAGGGTGAGTACAGTACAATAAGATATTTTGAGAGGAAAGAAAAAGAGACCACATTCACAGAACTTTTATTACAGTATATTGTTATAATTGTTCTATTTATTATTATTGTTGTTAACCTCTTAACTGTGCCTAATTTATAAATTAAACTTTATCATAGGTATGTATATTTGGGGAAAAAAGCATAATATATATAGGGTTTAGTACTATCTGTGGTTTCAGGCATCCACTGGGGGTCTTGGAACATATCCTTCACAGATAATGGGGGACTACTGTATAGTCTATTGGTTTTGTTTCTCTGGTGAAAATACGAAAATACAAAAGTACAAAATACAAAAGCAAAACAGGGCATAGGACTTACCCTAGGCCATGTTTTACCAGCAATTGAATACACTATGCTACCATACTGAATATTTGTGTCTCCCCCAAATTTATATGTTGAAACCCTAACCCCCAGTGGGATGGTATTAGGACGTGGAACTTTTGGAAGGTGTTTAGGTCTTGAGGGTGCAGCCCTCATGAATGGGATTAGTGCCTTTATAAAAGGGACCCCAGAGAGCTTCCTCCCCCTTCCTGCCATGTGAGGGCAGGGTGAGAATATGGCCAGCTGTGAGCCAACAAGCAAGGCCTCACCAGACCCTAAAATCTGCCAGCACCTTGAGCATGGATTTTGGCCTCCAGAACCTCGAGAAAGAAATGTCTGCTGTTTATAAGTCAGCAGGCTGTGGTGTTCTGTGAGAGCGGCCCAAATGGACTAAGACATTAGCCTGGTCCATCAGCCTGGCTGATTCACGGGGGACCCAGCTGTGCTCTGTTTCCTGTGGATTCTGGAGAGCCAGGCCCTCGGGGGGAAGGTCTAGCCTGGCCTCTTCCTCCTTTTCTCTTTTATCTGCCGGTCTTAGAGGCGGCAGAGGGAAGCCTTGGGAAGGTATCACTCAGATGTCCAGCTCACCTTGTTTCTCACTGGGTTCCTGCTCGTTGTGGGTAATTCCCCCACGTGCTCTTGGTCCCTGGCCCCAACAGGACCACCATGAATTCCTGGCAGAGCTCAGTGTTTCTAGATGGAGGGGAAGGGGGTGAGACCCAAACTCCACAGTGAGTATCTAGGGGACCCCTCGTCCACTGGTTTCCCTTCGAGGGCAGGTGAGGCATTATGACCCTGCTTGGGCCGAAAGGACCAGAAGACACCTCCCTCCTGGAAAGAGCTCTTTACTGAGTCAGTAATACTACGTCGCGTGATATCATATGTAGACAGGATTACACGGCAGTGGGGGCGGGCGGGAGTGCAAACCAGTTGCACGCCTATTACGAGAAGGGAGGTGGCATGGAGGCTTTTGGAAGGCTGAAAGGGGCTGGTGTCTGAGTCGGGCCGGGGAGGAGACAGCTCCATGCCCCGGCCCAGGAGTGGTCGGAATCTGTTGAACACCAAGGAGGGCAGCTCCACAACCAGTTTAGCCTGTGGGCTGCCTTCACCTTGCCAGGGGAGCTTCCCAGGGCTCCTTTGTGCCCGTGTGCGCAGGAAGCTGGAGGTGGTCAGGGGTGATGTCAAAGTAAGCCTCTTGTGCACATTCAGGCCCTCTGTCCTCACGTCCAGTCTTGCTGCCCATGCAGAGAGGCCTCGGGCCATTCTGAGTCATGGTAGGGTGAGGTGAGCGGGCACCTGTGGGCAGGAGAGCTGGGTGCAGGAGGGGAGAGCTGTTGTTACCCGGCTTGGCCTCCATCAGCCGCCACAGAGGGGCCCGTCCCAGGAGGGGAGCAGGCTGGCCTGGTGCAGAGCAAGGGAGCCAACTCCGCAGACAGCCCGCCGACCCCGGCCTCTTCACACTTGCTTCTGTCCCCCCACCCCCCCTTCCTCCAGCGTCCCAGCTGCTGGGCACCACTCTGGGAGAATGTTCCAGGGCCTAGATAGCCTTCCCATGCAGATGAGACTCCTCCTTGGATTTCTTCTAGGATGCTCCTGGGAGAAGGAGGCAAGGATGAAGTGAGGAATTTTCTGGAGACATGAAAAAATTGCTGAACTCATGGGAGCACGGTGCGCAGAGCCTGGGGACGGCGGCACAGGTGGAGTCCCTCTGGCCCGGATGAGGCAGGGGCAGCTCCCGGGACTCCATTCCCAAGGTTAGGAGGAGAATGTTTTGGTCGCCAAATCCCCCTTGTCCCTAGAGTTTGAACCACATCCCCTGCAAAGGTTTTCCTGGGTCTTCTCAAGCACTGGGAGCCACAGGGAACTGCTGGCCAGGTTGGTTCTGAAGATGCTGGAAAGCTGAGTTGGTCGGGAATTCAGAAATAGATTCAAGACCTTCCTCCCAAGGTAGCCACCTCCCTGGCAGGCTCAGTCACAGGAGAGGGGGCATCTCCCCCTGCCCTCTCCTCCTGCCCAGCCAGGGAAGCCTGGTTGGCCCCACTGGGCAGCAGAGAAACGTTGTGTGCGTGTACATGTGTGTGTGAGGGGCTGCTTTCTATGGTACAGTCAGTACTGGGGAGCCCGGAGGTGCAGGGACAGGCCGGGGGGAGGCCCCTTTGGGATCAAAGGACCACAACCGTCTGTAGGTGTGGCTTTCTGGGGGGCTCGCTCTGCCCTGAGGCCCTTCCTGCCATCCTGTGTAGCAGTGTCTGGGACTGGGGCCCTTAGCAGCGCCTCTGGCTTCCTGGTGGGCCTGGGGGCCCTGGGACTCCAGGGGGCCCCTGGATCCCTGGTTCACCCTTAAGCCCCATGGGCCCCCGCTGGCCCGGGGACCCTGTCTTCCCAGCAATCCCTGGTTTTCCTTGAGGCCCTGAGGGTCCTGGAGACCCTGGGGGCCCCTCTGGCCCTGGGGGCCCCACATCCCCCTTGGGGCCTGGCTGTCCTCTTGGGCCTCCACTTCCAAAGCTTCCCTTTGAGCCTTTGAGGCCTGGGAAACCTCGAAGGCCAACCGGCCCCCTTTCTCCCACAGGTCCTCTGTCTCCAGGCTGCCCCTGAGGCCCCTGGGGTCCCGGGGGGCCGAAGCTACCAGGGTCTCCTTTTGGTCCTCTGCTGCCAACGGGCCCCTTCGTGCCCATGTCTCCTTTGAGTCCTCTTGGTCCTGGAGGGCCGGGGGCACCTAGGGTCAGAGAAAAGAGGGGAGAAGTCAGTGCACGAGGGGCAGGTCTCCTGAGGCTTTCCCATGAAGCAGGTGTGGTGCCCAGGCCACAGGGACGAGCCCGAGGGTTAGCCAGACACCAAGGCCAGGTCTGCCAACTGACAGAGCTCGGGCTGATTCCGTGACTTCTCTAGGTCAGCCAGACCACCTGTGCAGTGGGGATGAGAAGCCTCACCTGCAGACTAGCAGGGATTCGGAGACAAGGCGTGTAAGTGTGCTTGAGTCCTGGTGCATGGAGAGAATTCATTGTTCCGACTTCAGGGCTCAGCTTGGGAACTGAGAGAGCTGGACAGCTCTGGGAAATGGCCAAGACTGTCCAGGTCTGGAGGCCAGCTTGGCCTTCTATACCGTCTTGTGGTCTTTGATAACTCCCCGCGCCACGGACATCACACCTTAGACTCTGCGCATGACTGTTAGGGGACTAGATAGAGATGGAGTCAGGTGACATGGGGCAGAAAACCAAAAAAGTGAGGCACGAGAGGCAGACCCCTCCCAGGATGAGTGCATGGGCACAACAGCCCAGAGAAAGGACAGCTCTTCCAGGAGGCCCACCCTGACTATCCCAGCCTATTCTCTGAGCTCCTGAGGCTACTACTTGCTGAATCGTGCAGGTGACGCGTAGAAAAAAAAGTCACAGTACAGCGAAAGCAAACCCTTGGTGCCTATCTGGTAGACCCCGCTAGACTGTGGAACCCCAGGAAGAGAGTGAGGGTCGCGGCTCACATCCCCCGCCCTGGGCATGACGCCTGGCACATGGCAGAGAACTCCCCCACAGATGTGGCCCCCTGCTCCCACCCGGCTCTGGCCTAGCACCTGGGGGAGATGCCCAGATAAAGATGTGGTCTGTCCTTAAAGAGCCCAGGTTAGCTCCCAAGCCAGGGGTCAGATAACCATAATATCCTTCTGACCATGTGGGTCTGAAAGTCACCACCTCCCAGAGTTGTACCAACCCTGAGGACACAAAGCAGAGTGTGGCCATCACTCTGTCCAAGGCATCTCTCATTGCCCAGAGCATGGAGGAAAGAGGACCCTCTGGCTTCGTGAGGATGCCCAGCAAAGACCTGGCTTTCTTCAGTGGTGTCGCAAAGGATGCTGGGTAAGGTTGGTGGGAGCAGTGGGCCCCAGGGCTGGCCTGGGGAATGAATTCTCATGCCCGGACTCAGCTCTCCCTGAGAATTCTGCTGCTACATCATTCCTCTTGCAAAACACTTCCAGCATTTTTGAGCGAGGTGGGAGCCAGTCCAGTTCCTGCATTTCACAGAGGAGGCAGCGAAAGCCCAGAGAGGTGAAGCAGTATCCTCAGGGGCCCCTGAGTGGAAACCAGAACCCAGGTGGGCCTCTTGGGGTGGAGGGATCCTGCAGCTGGGAGCTGGGAGCCCTGCCAATGGCCGTGACCCAGGTCTGCGATGCCAAGGCCTCCTCCCCAGCTAATGAGAAAGCAACTGCTGTGAATCCTGGTGGATGCTACCCGCTGCCCACCCTCACTACCCACCCATCCCCCATGCTCCCCACCCCCGCTGCTCCCTGCGTGTCTGCTTCCCAGAATGTTTCTGTGGAACAGAGTGTCAGTGACACCATCCTCTTTAAGATCTAAATTGGGATCTAAACTGGAAACTGGAGCCCAGACAGAGTCAGCCCCACGAGGGCCAATAAAAACCTTCCAGCCATTCCCTGCCCCCGCCTGCCCATGCCCACTTCCCCCACAGGGGGGATGTGGCCCTGTGTGGGCTTGGCTCACGTGGCCGGCCAACTGCACAGGCGGGGATTCCGTCACCGGGCTGGCGGGGGCAGGGGTGGGGCTGGAGGGGGCAGGGGTGGGGCTGGAGGGCTCTGGAGGGGACCTGGCCTGGGAGCAGCCAGGAGGCAGGACCTGCTCTTCAGTCTGCAGAGGGCCTCCCCCAGCCCCTCACCCGCCCTGCAGCCTGCAGCGAGGCAGCCCAAACAACCTGGGACAGGGAGGGGCCCTGTCCCCACACAGGGACCCCCCCCCCCCCACAGCCTGGCAGGACATGCTAGGAGCTGGCAAAGTCATGGCACCAGTCGGTCTTCACCCCAGCTCTGGCCTCGGCACCTGGGCCAGCAGAGCCATCAGAGGTGGAGAGGCCTCTGGAGGCTGGGTGGGCAGATGGGACTCAGAGGGCCCTGGAGCGACGCTGGGCGCCTTCCCGCCCACTCTGGAGCTCGGCTCTCGTCTATCAAATTGAGAGTCACAGTTAACAGCTCCGAAGGGCCCCTGTAGCTCCGCCATCACCCCTCCTCCTGCCTCTGTCCCTGCTCCCTGGCCTGTTTCCCTGGGCTCAGCCTCTGCCTGCTCCAGGAACACAGCTCCCTGGTTCTTCACCCTCTCTCCTTACAACCACGGCTGTGCCTTCCATCCTTGTTCCCTGGATGGAGGGGTCCACAGTCCCCGTTTCCAGCAGAGACTCAGGAAAAGCACGAGAAGTCTCCTCTCGACGAGGGTGCCCTGCTCTGAGCAGCCTCCCGGTCCGGCAGGAGCCCCCTCACTCTCTCCCCGGGACCCCATCCTTCCCTCGCCACTGTCTTCATCAGGTACCCGCTCCTCTCTTGCTCAAGGGACACAGCAGCTGGCTGCCAGGACTTCTCAGGGTCTCTACACCGGTAGTGAGGGAGAGAAGGCAGAGGGTAAAGGCCCCCTCTTCTGCCCATCCCCCCAGCCCTGCAAGCCTCCTCTTCCTGGGGGAGTTCCTGGCGGCTTCCTTGGATGGGGAAGGCTGGGCGCCCACATGCCCGGGGAGAAGGTGTGTGCCCACCTCGTTGCCCCAGGAGGTGGCAGCCCCCAGCCTGAGGGGGAAGGAGGACTTCAGGGAAAAGAGCCACCTCCCTTCTCCACACCCTCAGTCGTGGCTGCCCCCACTGACCCCATCTCTGAGGACACAGAAGGGCGTCCTAGACAGTCCCCTTGAAAACATCAGTCGGGGTGGCCGCGTCTGGGGCTACTTACCAGGCCTCCCTCGCTGCCCACATCGGGGACCAGTGGATGGAACCTGTCCCGTGTCGGTGTGCCTGCGACACCCAGCCCCCGGCTCACTCTCTAACTTCTCTGTGACCTGCCTTCTCTTGGAGAAGGGAAGGACAATGAGAGCAGCGAACATGTGTCTACCGAGTCTCTCCTGTGTCGGCGCCGCACACGGAGCTTGCTGTCCCATTCTACAGATGAGGAGCGGGGGGTGCGGGGGCTGGCGGCTTGCCCAACGGGGTAGACAGGACTCAAAGCCAGGCCTGCAGCTCTGAAACCCATGCTCCTTCCCCCGACCCTGCTGCCTCTGGTCCTCATCACGCTGTGGCTGGGGCTCCTGGCCCTTTCCCCAGCCCCTCCCGGCCTCCCCCTGCCCGGGCCTCCTGCCTAGTGCTGCCCAGAGGAGAGGGACGGTCCACACGGAGCAGGGAAGGGGAACCCGAAGGTGAGCCAAGCTTCAACTGGTCCCTCCTGGGCCGGCTGTGAATCATGCAGTCAGAGGGGAGGGCCGGCGGGACCTGGGTCTAGCTTAGGAGGAAATAAACAAGCGTAGTTTCGTGGTTAGCTTAGGAGCCAGGAATGTGGACAGAGGCTGACCGAGGCACTCTGCAGGACAGGGTGCCCCTGACGCAGCCCATAATCCAATCCTGGTATCAGTAGGGCTAAGGGCAAAGGAGGGGCGGGCTGGATCCTGCTCTGGGCAGCGGGGGAACATTTAAGGCAAAGGAGGAAACTGAGCGGCAGAGGCGGAGGTGCAGAGTTGGGGGAGAGGCACGGGGCACCCTGGAGTTCTGGGGAGGCCCATAATTACTCAGGAAGCCAGAGACTATAATTAGGCCATCCCGGCCCATTAGGGTAGAGCCACAACTGACTGCATGTCTGGGACAAGTAGGTGGTCTGCTCCTGGTCCGCACTGGGAACCCGGAGGGGTGTGTGTGTGTGTGTGTGTGTGTGTGTGTGTGTGCAGAAGCACCCAGTCTGTCAGCACCCAACACGGCCCATCCATGGGTGGGGTAGCGTGTGGGCAGGAGGGGCCCACAGTCCTTCTCATGGTCCAAAGCAGCAGGCCAGCTTACAAGGATAGAAAGAAGTAGAAACAGAAGGGGTGCCTCTCGGAAGACTGGTTCCACGGAAGGCACACTGGCCTGGCCTTTGGGGGACCCGGGTTTGGGCCCCAGCTCTGGTATTAACAAATCAGATAGCTGGGTAAGTGTCTGTCCCTCCTTGCACCTCAGGCTTCCCTCTATTCACTGAATATGTTGGCCTGGGTCAGGGACTGTCGGTACAGGCAGCTGTTACCCAAGGAACACGGGAAAAATGACAATGCACTTGTATTCTGTGGCACACTAGACTGCAGCAGACCAAACTTCCCACGCAGAACAATCCGAATCAGCAGATCAAGTAGCAAGACACCCTTCTGATGGCTTGGGAGAGAGACCAAAGGCCAAAATCACAGGGAGAAGGGAGACCACTTAAAGCCTGGCTTTCTTTGCCACCTTTCTTCTCAAGGCATTTGTCAACTAGTGATTAGTGCGGGCCAAGCAGCCAAGAAGCCGCACAGAAGGCTGCAGCTGTCAGACTGAGAAGTTGAGCAAGGCTTTCAGCAGCTTCCCTGGAGCTCGGGTTCAGGGCTGCCAAGATTCAGGAGGATGCGAGGCTGTGAGTACATTTGCTGTAAGGACCACAGGGCAGAGAGGTCGAACGGAACAGTCAGCTTCATTCAGCAGTGCTGGGGAGACAATAATTGGAGTTCAAGACCGACAAGGTGGTAGGGCCCTAGTAAACAGTCCTCCAGGACCATGCATTGTGAGTACGAGTGTGACAGAAACAGGCCAAGTGTTGGGCCGCCTGGGTGGCTCAGTCGGTTAGGTGTCCGACTCTTGATTTCAGCTCAGGTCGTGATCTCTGGGTGGTGACACTGAGCCCCGAGTTGGGCTCTTCGCTGGGCATGGAGCCTGCTTAAGATTCTCTCTCTCCCTCTGCC